CCCCCCCCCCCCCCCACCTGCGCACACACTTCAAAAATGGTATCTCATTATTTACATGACTGTCTCCTTGATTTTGTTAAGAGCTTGTCTCATGATTTTTGGCATGGTGGGGTTGACAGTACTGCAGTACTGTGAGCTAGTATTCCTCCAGGTGCAGGGCTTTATCTATACCTGCACCAGGCCTGGGCAGTTTCCAGCTGCTACTTCTCCCTGCCCTCCTGGCTCTGGTCTGACATGCTGGGGCCAAGGGAGCTGCAAGCTACACCCATGCTGTTGCTGCTTCTCCAAAAACTTCCTCCCCAGCCCCAGCCTGTGGGGACCTGCACTGAGGCCCAGCAGCTTCCAGTTGTGCCCATAGCACAGGGGCGGGCAATTATTACGGACAGAGGGCCACTTACTAAGCTTTAGCAAGCCATCAAGGGCCACATTACAGGCAGCCAAGAGCAGATGTATGTTAATTTTCTGATTTTTAGGGGCCCTACGGGCTGGACAGAACGGCCTGGTAGGCCACATCCGGCCTGCGAGCTATGTTTTTTTTGCCCACCCCTGTCATAACAGCTGGGGTGAAGGGAGGGGGGCAGGGAGAAGGGGCAGCTGCACAGGCATAATTTGCAAGTATGTCATCCGAGCCTAACTTCACACACTGGAAGCTGCACCTGTACTGGTGCCAAAGAGTATAGAACTGGAAGAAGCAGCAGTGAGGCAGGTACAGCTCCCATCCACCTGGCCCAGCATGGCATGGGGAAGGCTCCCCACCACTGAAGCTACCTTGCCCATGTTGGATTGAAACCCAGTTATTCCAGCCTAGTCCTTTGGGGGGTGGGAGCCCCTGACCCCTGCTCTACAGAGTAGACAAAGGGTAGGATTTTTGCTGGTATAGCGCAATTGGTGACGCCCTTCAACAATAGACCTGGTCAGATACCACAGACCTCTATAGGAAGGTCTAAAATGGTAAAGGAGATGGCTGAAGAAAATAACTCATAACATGCCCTGCTTCCAGCAAAGACCATGTCTATACTTCTCAGCTCTGGTGACAGCCCAAACTGTCAAGCTGCCAGAGTGTGCACACCCCAGCCCTTGTCGGCCCTGGCCTGCAGCAGTGTCTTCTCACATCTTCTTCTGTTCAGCAAAGCAAAGGGTTCTGCTGTCACAGAGGAGGCTGTGCGTACGGATGCCCTCAATGCCTGGCTGGCAGAACTGGAGTCGTAGCAAGATTGTGGTATGGGCTGGGTGAGACGTCTAAGATCTCGTAAAGAAGCAAAACACTTGGGTTTTCTATCAGCAAGCAGCTGAACCCTGCCCTGACAGCAAGGCCCATTGGCCCATTTTAAGGGGCCACTGCTCTGCAGAAAAATAACTGTAAGTGGTACTTGATTTTTGCTGGTTACTGCCCTGGATATTGCTGCTTTGTGGCTATCTGTCCATGCCAGCCAGCACTTGGGCTGACCTAACGCAGTGGCTGAAAGATGCCGTTACCTTTTTGATTTGCAAAAGTAACGAGCTAGATTTACTGCATAGGTGCCTAGAACACTCTTGTAAAGGTAGTGTAGTGTAGGTTGCCATACATTCAATCCCTGGTACGTTGTAGAATTTTGCTGCTGAATTTCTTGATGAACACTCATGTCTGATGCTGTTACGAAGACAGCTATCACCTGGGCCTAGTCCTGCTCAAGAGCTGTCGGGCCTTGGCTAACGTTTTATCAGCTTATCGAAGACAGAGTGCCTTTTTGATGCATGTTAAAACCTGTGGGAGAGTCCTAAAAGTGCTCTGATGAAACTGAGGCTGCTTGTACTTGCCATGTTCCAGGCCTTGTCTGTTCTACCAGCTCTGGCAGCACTTCAGCTGTGCCAGCACCATTTTGAGTGTACCCGCACCTGAAGCTTCTCTGGAGCAGCAGGACCTGTCTTCCTGCTAGCAGTTATTCTACCTTTGCCAAGCAAACTGGGCTGTGGTATTTGTAAGGGTCAAATGTGTTCTGTTTGCTACTGATCTAAACTATGCTGCTTACAGAAAGCTGCATAACTTTGATTCAGTCTCTGGCTTTTTGAATGTCTGTACCTAGCTTGGATGTCCAAATTTATGTTTCGCACATGTACGAAGCATTCCAGGCAAGATGGTCCCAGGTGCTTAGACACCTAGTAAGATTTTTTTTTTCAAAGGTGCTAGCTGAAGAGGTGCATAAATTTCTCAAAAAAAATCCACTTCTGTTTTCTTCACAACACTTCGTGACTGTAACCTGGTGTGAGTTGTGTGATGGAGTCCTTATGGATTCTTTCCCTTTTTGTAGGAACAAATGCCAGCCTGGGCCTGAGACACATTTGTCAACTGATGAGAACAAAGAACTGAGACATACTTGTGACTCTACCAAGACACTAAAACATACAGTTTAAACCAAGTTCCCCAGTGTGTGGCCTGTCTCTGTGAAATGATCTTATAGTTCTTGGGAGGATAGTCTCTATTCTTTTTCTACCTTCCAACCTCTCGCATTTCATGATGTTTCTCTTGACTTTCATTGCAGGATAATACTGGGTTTTCCCTCGCTTCATATGCTTTAGTGTGGGTCACTTGTTACAAGCTGCTGGCTATAGATTGGTGTTTCTGCATTTCTACCTCAAATTTCTACTTGGAGGCTTTGCTTGAATATTGTAACTAACCTGCTTTTTCTTTCTCTCTTACTGTATCTCTGTCACTTTCCCTCCAATTCCTCTTCCTTTCCACCTCCACTGTTGCAGGTTCATCATGCCTAGTGGCATATAAAAAGACTCCTCCCCCAGTTCCACCTCGGACCACCTCAAAGCCGTTTATCGCTGTCACGGTGCAGAGCAGCACTGAATCAGCCCAGGACACCTATCTGGATAGCCAGGACCACAAGAGTGAGGTCAACAGCCAGTCAGGACTGAGCAATTCTTCAGACAGCTTAGACAGCACCAGAACACCCAGCGTGACCAGAGGCAGTGTCGTAACTCCAGCCAGAGACACGCCAGAGTTACCCCAGAAAAATGCAACTTTGAAAAGTGACAAAGGGACTCTGACTAGTGAAGAGCCTAAGGTGGAGAATATCCCCAAAAGAAAGCTATCATCTATAGGAATACAAGTATGGAATAATAGTTCATCCTCCTTTGTGTAGTAGAGAATGTCCTTAACCTGTCCATTGAGCATGTGCATTGTATGTAACTACATATGCAGCTGAAGCCACTTAGTACCTAAAGAAATCATTTTATAGAACAAAATTCTGTTGCCCAGAGATCATCTACACCAGCAGTTACAGTAACAGGCCAGAAAGGAAAATGTTTTCAGTGCAAAATTAAAACAAATGTCATAACTGTGGTGCCTTATTAGCTGGTTACATCTCTTTAAAGAGACTACTTGCCATACTCTGTACTTTAGGGTCAGCTTGATCTCTAAATTTAGTACACTTTGAGGCACAACCTTGTTTAGGTTCAAATTCTTCTAATTATTAAAGCCTATAGCACTAATTAGCATGCAGTGGTTACAGAATTACAAGTTTGGGGCAGTCTTCCTAAGAGTGCCTTCCATTCATCTCTGTCTTCTCCATGTGAGAACAAAGTGATCCCTCTGTTGCTGGAAGCAATGTAAAGCTACATGCTAATTAATGAAAATTAGGTGTTAGCTTTATAGTCAAATAAAAACTGATCTGGGAGCAGAGTATATCCACACTTTGTTCAGCAAAGGCAAACATGGGGAAGCTTTTTCTAAATTACAAGTCTGCTGTTTCCCTCTATTTGTAGACAAATGTCTGAATGCAGGTGCCTAAATATTATATTCACCTATCGGACAACAAACACCTGTGGATATATTTCATGTAATGACATGCCAAAGTATGACTAAAGCACCGATTTGCAAGTCTGAATGCAAAATCTGTGGACTCAGCAGGTGTGAGTGTGCATTCTGAAAAGACTGTTTAAAATTGGTCTTCTGCAGCGTCAAACTTCCCATTGAGTTCAACACACACACAAATGCCCCTTCACCCAAAGTTATGTGCTGGAAGGTCAGTTTAAACTTCTGTACAGAAGTCAGGGTATCTATGCCCAAAGCCAGTGAGCTGGTCTGTTGCTCTAACCCAGGGGTGGGCAGTTACTTTGGGCAGAGGGCCGCTTACTGAGTTTCAGCAAGCCATCGAGGGCTGCATGACAGGTAGCCCAGGGTAGATGAATATTAAATTTTCTAATTTATTTTTTTAGGGGCCCCGCAGGCCAGATAAAATGGCCTGGTGGGCTGCATTTTACCCACCCCTGCTCTAACCTCTTGTCTGCAGTTAGTCATTCCAAATGTGTGCTGGAGGTTTTGCTGGACACACTGCCCTTAAATCCTAGTTGGTTTTTTGCACCTTGCTTTGATGCTGCAGTCTAGGTTTCAGTGTCACTTTTAAGATATAGCTTTTTCCCCTCTGAAGAGTAGAAGGAGCAAGCTAAAATTTGTATACATTTTGCTTAGAAGGAGCTCAATTTTTAAAGAGTCAGACAACTTTAGCCTACTCCTCCCTGGCCCTGTTCTGTGGTAGAGGCTCTCGTGGAGTGATCCAGGCTTCCCCCACCTCTAGTATTGGGATTTTTGCTGTTGTGTTAGGGTACTGCTATTGACCCCCTGCCTGGAATATTTTAGCTGGGAGAGAGCTTGAAAACTGCCATATCTTCCAGGGTTACCCTTTGAAAATTAAGCTAAAGTTCTCTCCTAAGGCTTAAAATTGCCATCTTTTGCATGTCCTGTTTGTGTACACAGCTGCTTTTTCAGACATGTAGCCATTGCCTGTCTTACCATGACCATTGTAGTGGTAGAAATGGGTAGAGCTAGACCCACCAGGACAAAATCCACCCTCTACAACAGAGGGTAATGCTAGCAAAGTTTATACTGCTGTCCATCTGAAAACAGCCTGCTAGTTAGTTTGTTCTGTCTGCATGCTCTGTGTGCGTGTGTGCATGCAACACTCTCCTGTTCAACAGTGTGAATTCTAGCAGCAAGTTTGTGTCTGTTTTTTTTTTGTTTGTGTTTTTGTTTAATAAGGTTGACTGCCTTCAGCCAGTGGCAAAAGAGGAGCCGCCTCCGGCAGTCACCAAATTCCAGTCCATCGGGGTACAGGTAGAGGACGAGTGGCGGTAAGTGAAAGGCACAGGCTTTTTTTATTTTACCCCCTTTTAAACTGCATTTTTCTCATTGAACTTGGATCCATTTCCTCTTCTGCTTTGTTTCAATCCAACTGTACGGAATGATGGGGGGGCTGTGGCACATGCCCTTATCAAAAAGCACTTTAGTCTGTAAAAAGCTAAATCAACAGGGGCTTGCAATACAAACCTATCCCAAGATGTAATTATAGATGTGCGTCAGTCATTTCGTCTGAATGGCCTATTGCAGTAAGCAGGCAACCTTATAATTGTGTCTGTCTGCATGTGTGTTTGTGTGTAATGGGGTGGGCTGGGGAGCAAGGCTCAGCTGCAGGCTCTGTAAACAAGTGCATTTCATTGTGTGTCTGTGCCGGCGGGCGAGTCCAGCCGGTTGGAGTTCTGCCTTTAATGCTCCTGCTCTCTTGTTCTAGAAACAGCCACTCTCGCAGCATGTCCTCCAAACAGGACGCAGATTCTGACACGCAGGAACCAAATAACTCTAGCTGTAAATCCTCTGAGAGAAGCCTTGCTGATTGCCCCCCATGCCACAACTCTGTCAGTGTTGATGCCAATAACAGGCAACCAGCCAAGCTCTCCCAGATTAAGAGAAACCTCTCCTATGGAGATAGTGACCCAGCCCTAGAGCCTTCCTCTCTCCCTCCACCTGATCCTTGGCTTGAGACTTCTTCCAGCTCCCCGTCAGAACCCACTCCGCCAGGAGCCTGCAGGCGGGATGGGTACTGGTTTCTGAAACTGCTGCAAGCTGAAACAGAAAGATTAGAAGGATGGTGTCGGCAGATGGACCAAGAGACCAAAGAGAACAATCTCTCTGAAGAAGGTGGGTGTTGTCAGCTGCTTGGCGGTGGGGAGCAGCATGAGTTATGACTGGAATGTACCAACCCATTAGTAATGGCATGATAGGGATGAAATGGAAAAAAGGGCAAAATGAAGCGAGCCATCGCATGTAACTTCCTGACAGGTGAGATCTGTTAGTCCTTTGAGTGGTCCTGAAAAAGGGGGAAGTGGGGTGGGGAGCCTAATAAATGTGCAGCAGGGAGTAAGTCTGTAATGACTAGGCTGGCAGGGGACTAGATGGCAAAGCTTGCCTCGTTCATAGAGTCTATAGTCTTGTCTTTAGGGTTAAAAACAGTCTGTAGGGGTTTCAGGGTAATTTAGTGGATGAGCGAGTCTGGGACAAGAACATTTAAGATTAGGCATTTAATTTTATTATAAGGTTAAACTCACAAAGGGAAACTTCTTAGATTAGCACATGCTCATTACAAGGTAAGTAATATACAAGCCCTGTAGCTCTTTAACCAGACATGGTGCCAGATACAGGCCCAGGTGACTTGTGGGTGCCATCCTTGTAGAGGTCATGACATTACCAAGGACTAGTTTGTCCCGCACCTAGTTCCCATCCACCATGTGCTAACCTAGCTGTGCTGGATAGTAGGGCTGTGTAAAGCTTTGGTTGCCAATTTGATTCGGAGGAGATGGAGCCCAATTTTTAGCAGCCGAATCCAAATTGCGTAGGGAGACCTATTAAAAGGTCTGAATCAAATCCAAAGCCTCCAAATAGATTTGGATTCGCTGTGGAGAGGCAGGCCCAGCCAAGCGGCTGCAGATTTTCCTGTGGCTCTTCTGGCTGTGCCTGCCTCTCCCTGGATGGGGAGAGCTGCGGGAGAAGCCCCCATGGCTCCCCTGCCCGGCACCAGGCCTAGTCCTGGCACTTGGAGAAAAAACCCTGCACTCGCTGGCTCTGGCAGCGGCGATCAGGGCCTCTGAGGGCTCATGGCAGAGACCCCAGCACAGGGGGGACAGCAGGGATTGTCCCCCACCCCCACCTGGCACCCACACAACAGCTGCCCCCATGGCACAGGTGCAGCGTGGTTGGCAGGGCACTGCACGCTGTCTGGGAGTTGGGGCAGTTTCAGCAGTCACCTGGCACTGCTCAGCTCCAGTGGCCCCAGCTCCCAGACGACACATGGCACCCTGCACTGTGGGGGGCAGGGGCTGATCCCTGCTACATAGGGGGGCTCCACCACAAGCCCCCAGAGACCCTGATCCCCACTGTTGCAGCCCGTGAGGGATTTTTTGCTTTCTTAAAATGCTGGGAGGCTGGAGTGAGGCAGGGGATGGGCCCAGGCAGGGCAGCCATGGGGGCTTCTCCCGCAGCTCTCCCCACCAGGGAAAGGCAGGCACAGCCAGAGGAGCCATGGGAGAACTTGCAGCCGCCCAGCTGTGCCTGTGTCTCCCTGGCCAATCTGAATCAGTCCCAAATCGGCCGAATCCAAATCAAATACTTCCCTATTCGCACAGGCCTCCTGGATAGGTAGTGCCAGGGCTGTAGCCACTCAGCCTCCCTGAAAGTAAATGGTTCATGAGAGAGCAATCAAGCAGGCTGCCCTTGCACAAACAAGCTAGCAGATATAAGAGAGTCCAGCTCGCACCTAGCAAACCAAACAGATTCTCCGTTAGAGCAGTTCTCTGCCAGCTGATCTTGTTTACATGTGTTCATCACAGTTTGCAGTGAATTTTGAGAGCTCTTGCTTTGTCTCTTCAGCTGAGCCTTCAGAAGGAAGAAGCCCACACAATGTTTGCTGGTGGGAAGAAAGGGCAGCCTTTGCTTGCTTGAAGGCTTCTCGCAGCACTTTCTGAGGGGGAGTCTTAAATTCCTAGGATCCTCCCATTTTTTTGTTTTGCTGAAGTTCTGTTTGGAAGCCTTTCAGGAAAAGAGGGATGGTTTGGTCTTCTGCTTGTCTCACAATCCATTTCTTTTTGTCATTGGAAGAGTAGGTCTAAACACAAGTGCCTGGAGATTGGGTCAGTAGATAGGCATGCAGGGTCTTGTCTGTAGCAAATGCCTTGGAAACATTGACATCTATCCTTGCTGTAGACTAATGATTTTAGTGCCTAGCTCTGTTCTAGGAACCATGGAAATAGACATCAAATGGACTTTGTAAATATTGACAGTTTGTAAGCAAAGTAGTAGTCACAGCCAAAATGCAGCTTCTTTTCCTCTGGGCACTCTTGTTCTGTGAAGATTTTGGAATTCATGTTCTATAATGAAGTGTGTAGTGGAAGAGGAAGTGAAGGATATCAGACTAACTTCTGTGACTCCTCGGCACTTCATTCACCCAAGTGCTCTCAAGCATGCTTGTTTGCTGCAATCAGCTGTCTGCTTATTTAATCTTTTTTTTTTTTTTTATTTCCTTAGTCTTAGGAAAAGTCCTCAGTGCAGTGGGCAGTGCACAGTTGTTAATGTCACAGAAGTTCCAGCAGTTCCGGGGTCTCTGTGAGCAAAATTTGGTGAGTATGACTCTAAGCCCACAAAACTACATACTGCCATAGAAGGGACTGACCAGTGTGTGAGTATCTCCACAGAATTATAAAAGTTGTTTAATAGCAGCTTTGACTAGTACAGTCTGACCATTTTGTGGTGTTGGAGATGGGGTGTGCGGTCTTTAAACAAACATTACTACTCAGGTTGAACAGTATTCAGTGGGAGGCTGACATTCTTACCATGCACCACTCTTTTATACCTTAAGCAGCTGAAGTTGAAGAACTGGGGCATGTCCCAAATACTTTCAGCATGTGCACAGTGTTAAGGCCATGTTCTACTCTTGGGTGCATGCTGTGACTTCTGTTTGGCATTAATAGGGGTGCAGTAATAGTTGGCTGGATATATTTATACCCAGAGGTAAGAAGCCAGTGGGCATGTAAACCAAGCAGAGTTGCTTGTCCCATTACTTCTAGGGGGCCTTTCAAGGTGAATTGCAGAGATTAAGACAGAAGTGAAATGTTTTGAAAAGCCTTCCAAGTTGCTCTGAACATGCTTGTTTTGTATGAATGACAAACCCATCCCCATGGGGCTATTGCCAGTCACTTTTTTAATCAAACTTCTTCAAACATGAATGTGGTTGTCTTTAGGACTAAACAGGGCAGACTTAAGCATTCTCGGAATCTATTCTTTTAGCTTTATCTACACATTCCTTTGTTTTTAAGACCTACTGTTTGGACTCCCCAAAAGGACTCAGTCTGAAAGCAAATTATTTTCCTCTGAGAGCTTTAGATGCATCTAAGATTGTCAGACTTTGCAGCCTCAATCAGTGTTTAGGAAAATTTTATATTTTGGGGAAGGGAAATGTAGTATTGAGTACCTGCTTTTTGCTTTTGCCTGATAACATTTGCACTGGCAGAGAAACTGGAAACTAGATTTTTTTTTTTTTAAACGAGATCTGTGTTTGGGGCACATCTGAAATACTGACCTCTCTTAGTTTTGTCCCAGCTGCACACTCAAACCTGGTCTGTTATCTTGTAGAAATCCAAGGTCAGTTGTACAGTTCAGTCCTCAAAAAATATTGAGGAATCTTAATCTAACTTTACTTCCAAGCAAACTGTTGGCAACACTTCTGTCAGCTGTTTAGAATCTCTTTTCCTGTAAGCGTTGAGTTACAGAAACTTCCAAAGTTCCTTTTTTCAGGGAAATAAAAGCTAAAAAAACGTAATTTTGATCAAGTTTTAGCCTAAACAGTTGGTTTGTTTAAGTTGGCATGCATCAGATGGCATGTGGGTTTTCCTGCTGCATTCTGTTTGCTTTGATCATGTTGTGTCCAGTCTTTAATGTGTAGTATTCCCCTAACAGGCAGCTACTTCACTAAGAAACCACACACTTTTTTTTTTCTGGCTCCTGAGCTGAAAATCAGGACCTGTAGCATGATACTGCTACAGGATTAGCCCAAAACTAAACAGCCTTTGGGACCAAAGAACTATTTCTTCCTGCTGTCAACATGTATTTGGATATTTGATTTGGTCTCTTCTACAGCTAATGCTGACACAATGTCTCAGACTGGCTGAGCTAGCTAGAACATAAGCCTTAGGGATAAAGTGATTTGCTGTGTGGTGAGGCTGCTGAATTTGGTCCTGGCTGGGGAGTACTCAGAAGCTGCTTTGACACAGATCAGGGCTAGTAGATGGTAATATGAGGTCACCATTGCCCAAGGTAACTGTGTAAACTAATTCAGGCAACTGTACTCTGGCTTAGGTATGCTGGTTTTTTCTTTTTTCTTAACAGTACACTCTCCTTTACAGAACCCTAACGCCAATCCCAGAC